GAATCATAAGATGGGGGGGATAATGATTACAATTTAGATTTAGTAAGGTTAGGTTCTGGTATGAAATTAGTTTTAGACTCCGGAATCTCGGGCAAATTTGTCATGCAATAATAGAATATATATAATATATGTAAAATACAAATGTAGAACAAAAGAAAAAAAATTTAACTTTCCATGGCAGTAAATGGCGCAATTCAAATTTCAGATGGCTTATATAGCTTTATAAAATATTATTCCATTAATCTAGCCTAGGACTAAAGCCTGTATTTAGAAATATTATAGACGTCATTGAGAATTTAACTTTGAGTCGTAGTTTGCAGAGAAATATTTGATATTTACAGGAAATAAGTTTAAAGGTAGGTCAAGCTGAACCTAGCTTTCCTTCTAATCTGCAAACCGAAAAAAAGAGCGATTGAGGGGAGGGGGGGGGGGGGTTAATTCCATTTCAATACGTAGTAAGTAATATAAGCAATTAGATAATGTCAGAGTCCCTTAAAGTGACTGTAGACTTAATTTCAATTGACTCTCCATTAATGGCATGTTCAATTCCTAACGGTACCCTTTGAACATTTTACTGAGCGAAAATAACGAATGTTTTTGCCTTTTTATTTTCTAGAAAGCTGTTGAATTCTGACAATTTCGTTCATACTTTTCTGCATAAATCCGTAAGGCACTTAAATATAAACCGCAATTAAAAATTGAAGATTTTAAGGGGCACAGAAAAAATTAAGCACCACTTGCAATTACGTACATAGTCCTCTTTAAAGCATAAAATACTTCAGAATTTAAATTAAAAGATTTGATTTGAACTCACCAAGTATTGTTCCGAGGAGCATCTATGCCTGGATATCCTGCCTGGTAGTTCTACATGAGGACCTTCTTGATAGCCTCGTCCACCTCCCTTCCCTACACCCTCACCTCCACCATACTGTCCTTCTCCAACCAGTCCTCTACCCCCTCCACGTCCTGTCCCACCCTTCCAGTGTAGAGGAGCGGGATGCTCACCCGGAAGTCTACCCTCTACAATGAGTGACCCAAGTGCACAAAATACATCTGGAGGTTCAAACATTGCGTTCTCGTCCAATGAACTGTATCCGCCCCCAAACCCGCCACCTCCAACCCCTCCTCCACCTCCAACCCCTCCTCCACCTCCAACCCCTCCGCCGTATCCGGCACTGCTGGATTCACCTCCTAAACATAATTCACATGAATTGAAAACCCATCAAAGTCTTAAAAACTATGAATTTTTACAGAAACAAAATGTTTTAAATACTGGGTTTTTACAGAAAAAATATTTTCCAATAATAATATGAAACAGTTACAAAGAAATTGAGTCTCTGCCACAAACTCAAATTTTCTAATCCATATTTCTTTGCAACCTGATAGTATAAACCTTTGATATTTCAAACTTGTGTATTTTGAGAATTAATAGTTTGAAATATCTAAGGTTGCAACGACATTGGGTTGCAACGATTTAGAGATTAGAAAATAAGAATGTGTGGCAAAGACTCAAGTCAATTCCCTTAAAGCTTCTAAAATTTAAAAAAATATAAAATGTAAAATATTGGAAAGAATCTTCAATATAATTAAATAACTGTCCGGTGGTTGGGTTTATCACTCTAATCTTTACATTTATGCATTTAAGCCTCGGTACTCGACAGACATTAAAGATTTAAATAGAAGAAAATCTTTAATTCTTAGACAAAAGTTTATCAAAATTTTAAGAAAAAACTTTTTAAACCTTTTTTGATAATAACTTTCCTCGTTCTTTTTATTTTTTGATAAATTACTGACGAATATTTGAAAAGATTCTTAAATCATTTCAAAATTTGTATCTTAAAATTTTCTAAATTCTATGAAGTTAAAAATAAAATAACTTTTTTTCTTATGATTTTAATAGAATATCTTTTACTTAATAGGTTTTGCTAGTATTTCAAATATCTTTTTAGAAAACCCTTTCACGATAGGGATCCACTCAAACAACTTGGCTTTCCAATCAGTCATTTTCAATAAAAGAAAAAGTTTAAGAAAAGAAAATTTTTCACATTTCTATTCTGGAACTGATATTTATTTTTTCACTTGGCAAAAAAATAAAAATATTTTTGAGAAAATAAAAAATTCTAGCGTTTAATAAGCGATCAAGTTGATACCATCATATTTCGTTTTTTTTTAATTTATCGATTTGTTTTCGGCATTTTCCAAATTAAAGGATTATCTAAGTCTAATTCGTTCATGGTTTCCAAATCGTTACAAAACCGAATAGCCTAACGTAATCTAATCTTAAATTAGTTTGACCTTCTTTACCACCATAATCATTATAATCATTATAATCATTATATTCATATCAACAATTTACGTGTTTGAATCATAATATACGTTATCTAGCTCTTTGTTCATTTACTTATGTTAGCTATAGCTGGCAAAACAATTCGACCATTTTTTTTCAGAATTCGAGATTTTTTCAAGTTTTTTTAAAAATTCCATGGGCAACGCTGGGAAATTTATCTCGTAGAATTTAAAATAATATCTTTTTATCAAGTTTGTCACTTTTTTGTTTTATCTTTAGTTGAAAAATCTCTCCTAACAAAAGACTATATACACCCATAGAGGAATTATGCATTATATTTGATAACAACAAAAAATCATTTTAGAAATTGATCAGAGTTCACGTGTTTTCAAAAACCTCGGTCAGAATTGTATTTGAAGAGATATTTTTTTTCTAAATTCGTGCACTGGATTTACAACATTTGGGCTCCTAAGCTTGGATCTGAATTTAACTGGGAAAATATGTATCAACAAAAAAGGAAAGGCTCCAACTTCCTGAGCCTTGTATGTAACTTTTTGTGATTCATTCAGTATACAAATCCTCCAATCAATGACTATGCATTTTTAAACAATGGTCAATTATTGGCTTGAAAACTTGCATGAAATAGGCTTTAAAAAGGCACTGCCCTTAGAACGTTCAGCCAGGCTTGAGTATAATTTGTTTACACCCTGCAATATACAATGGATAAAAATCATTTTTTTCATTTGTTTAAAAACACAAGTACACTTTTTTGTGAACTCAGAGCTGGGAACTCATAATCCCGATTGTCAGATCTTGATAACCACAGTGGACACTTTTAATTTAAGGATCAATGCTTATTCTCTACATTTCAGCTATCACTTAAGGATACAATTATATTGCGGGATATCGACTAACGAATGATTGACATTAAGCATTGATAATATTTTGGGTTTAGAAAAAAAGGAAAAAATGTCGAAAAGTGTTCACAAGGCCCCGGAAACTTATTTGATCGAAATACAAAATGTCTAAGAATAGAATGGATATGAACAGTTGGAAAGCTGGGTTGTAACTAAACATATTTTCTGAAAAACTCCAACTTTTTACAAAATAAAACCATCCGAACAAAAACTGCTTTCATCTTTAACAAAACCTAGTGTTTCCCAACCCTGACCTATATATATATGTGATGTGGTATGAAAACCAGGAAGGGAAAGGGGGTCAAGTACAGATCTCCCACCCTTTGATAAACATAAATATCTTTTACTCGAGCTGTGATCAAATATCTTTAAAAATTTACTTAAAACTGTAGGAAGTAGAGGGATATTGTTTGATTTTTTAATCTTGTTTGAGGGGGGGGGGGATAATTTACCAACCCCCCCTCACTCAGAAAATGTTTAAACTTTTATCTAAAAATTGAACTGTACTGAAACTTTATGTAGGATATGGAGATAAGAATACTCTGTTGAAAGACGAAAATGTGATTTGCCAAAAAGCGAAACCAAACTTGTACTTTTTCACCTTCAGGGATTTCACAAGTGTTTATCTTGATAGCATTTTATGATTATATTGATATTTATTGTGAATATAAATTTGTTTAAAAGAAAAATTCATAAAACACATTTATTTGCCCTGCCTTAACCCTATTCCTGCTGGGGGGGGGGGGGGCAATTTGACCCCCCCCCTGTAGTTTTTTATATAACTCAAAAAGTATTGGTCTGATGCTGTTGAAATTTTCTGACTTTTCCTACATACCCAAAGCCCTCCCTTTAGGCCTAAAACCGGGCTTCAATACTAACTGCCTGAGTCCTCAGGCACATTGCCTGAATAACTGCTTTTTCCTGTAACAAACTAAATCTTTGTTTTGACCCACTTCCACTTGACAGATTTTGATAAAATTTAGCTCTTTGGAAAGCCTTTGACATAAGGAAACGAATTGCACAAGTTTTGCGAAAAAAAATTGCAAATTTTTTGCAAACAATCTGTCAAAGGAAATTTGCACATTTTCAGTTTTTCTTGATTAAAAATAAGGTTATTTAAAATTTTGCTAAATTTTTTGCAAATTTGAAATTGCATGGTCAAGGGCTTTTCAAAAATGTATAATTTTTCATTTTTTGGACAAATTTTTTTTGCAAACATTTTTACTATATAACTGGATTTTGCGATAAAAAATTCAATTTTTGCAAATTTGCAATTTTTTTGCAGATTCTAAATGTAGAGCACAAGAGCTTTCCAATGATGTATCATTTGTCATATTTGGACATCAAACATGGGATTTAGAGGGGGGGGGGGTCAAATTGACCCCCCCCCAGAATATCCTGGTTTTCAAATACCCCAGCAGAGATAGGGTTAATAAAAAGTAAATGCTAAAACAGATGAAACAAAAATGGTTTGTTTTTGCGGTTATATCCATGTATCTGTTTTTAGATAACCAAATGAAAATAATTTTTAAATACAATTGAGTTGAGACAATTAAAAAAATTAAATTTACGAGTTTGTGCATTTTTGTTGCAAAATATTGCGCAATAAAACAGCTGACAAGCACTGCAAATTAACATGATATGAAGTTGCGAATCCCAACATCCAATAGTCAGACTTTAGATCCAGTTTCCAGCTTAAGAGGTTTGAACAAAGCAATTTAAAAACAAAAAATACCGCACTTCTTTTGGAGAAAGGATAAAAAATAAGTTTTATGCCTTAGTTTTCATTTTGTAAGTATGTTTATTTTTTTAAATATATACATCCCTGAATGCTTTGGAGAAACTCTGAAAAGGAGTGGCAAGTTGCAAGTTACAAACTAGCCCAACTATTGCGTATTGTGTAGGAGCAATCCAGCTATTGCGTATAAAATAAGAATTGAAGAGGCGGGCTTTTAGGCATAGTAAATATAATATGTCAGGAGAAACCAAAAAAAACATCAGTAAGATTTATATCATCATTCAAATTTATAAAAATTCCTGCTTACAATTTTTAGGAAATTTATCAAACTTTTTTAGAGGAATACATCAATTTTACATGACACATACTGATAAGAAAATTACCGTTCCTCCACTTCATAATTTTTTACATCTGTGTTCAATTATTCAAGAGACAGCGAACAAATATACATTTATAAAAGCTTTCTCAATGACCTACTTACGCAATTCTTTAGATAAATAAATCTGAGATATGGATTTTAGCACAATGGTGAGGGATAAAAGTTAAAAATTAAAATATGAAAAAGTGGATTGGCTTATTTATGAATATTCTCCAAATATTTCGTGGATTTGCAATGACAGAAGGTGACGATAAAAAGTTGTGCAGCATGACTGGTATGACTTTATGACCTCGGAGCTCCCCTGGTTTTAAATTTTACGTAGAAGAAAATAATAAAATCTGGTTAAATATTAGAAATTCGAAACATTTTTGTTCTTCTCAATACCTCTTCAATAAGATGAGTTAAGATTAAAAATATATCATTTTAAATTAAACGTGCAGTTTTTATAGTTTGACGTGCAGTTTGTATAGCTGAAGTTTTAAATTTTAAATTAAAATGTTTCGGTTATTTACCCTATGTTACCTTGTTTATATATTTATTAACATTTATACTCTTTCCTTGAATACTAACTATAGTACTTAAGACCCGGTATTGGGGGTTTTAAAACCTATATATATATATATGAGCGAAGGAGCTTTACTGTGTAGATAGATAGATAGATATACTATAACCCACCAACCTTTAAACCCTGCTTGGCCATTTAAAAACCTTGAAGCTTCTATACCAACTCTAGGACAGTGACCTACAAAATATCCTTCAAAAGGGCTCCAGGGGCAACAAAATATAAGCGATAGGGAACCAAGGGGCATTCAGTGTGAAGGGGGTATCCAGGAGCAACAAAATATATGCGAGGGAGGTAATGAGCAAAACAAATCTTAATGACTGAAGGGGCAACACTATTAGGGAGACAAGAGGGGTCAAACAATTATGAGTGCTAATGGTCAGGGGCTCCAGAAAATGTGTGAGGGACTTCAGGGGGAACACAATGAGGTGTCTCAAACAAAACAAAAAAAAAATAATAACATTTTTTAGTATAGAACATTTTTAAAGAAAGCAAATCAAATTTGTACAATGTATACACACTTGAGTTAACAATAAATAATGCATGTTTATTATTGTTTACGAGTTCAGTGAATGTGGTTTAAGAAAGTTTAATAGACCTGTCCTGTGAATAATGTTTGGTTACAATATTGAAACCAAGGGTCTATAACCCCCCTAGACTATCCAGGGCATACAAAGAAAATCAACAAAAAAGTTTTATATTTTGTAAAATATATGACCTTGTCAGTTAATTGAGCTGAATAGAAAACAGTCTGATTTATTTCACGCAATCGAGAGTGAGAAGTTTTATTTCATCTATTTATACAATTTGCAAGTCTTTTTGTCTGTTTCTTAGTTTTCAATCGATAAACTTCAAATCGGCTGAATCCATCTTATAAATTTTTTTTTGGCACCTCACTTGACCCCAGGGAATGTTTATGGATGCTGAAAATTACAAAAAATTGTCTGCACAAATTTTTGATTTTCGTAAAATTTTGGATATGCGCGAAACAAATCGAAAAATATTATTTTTCTATCGAAAAGAAAATGATGAAAGATTGAGCAACAGTTAAAAGTTGAATCATAAGATGGGTGCGAAGCAACCTGATAGCCTAGTATTCAAAATTTGGCAACGTCATAAAAGATTAATAAATGCATAAAAGTTTTTATTTGCAAAACCGTTCCTTTAAACATGAAAGTTTCAGCGAACCCATGATGAGAACAAATTTATATTTTAGTTATTTATAACTTCAGAGAAAAAATTCTTTCAAATACAAATAAGCAAACACATGATATCTGAAAAATACATGGATACAAAAAAAAATGGGCATGGTTTAAACAGCCTCTGGCGTCCCATTACACCTCCAATGCCCTCTATAAGCTTATTTTTTTAAACATTCTGCAATTAATTTCATGCTAAATCGAATTTATGTAAAAAATTTGATTCATATATTTGTTTTCTTTTTGTCCTCAATCTTCATGAACCTCAGTTCTTTACTATTATTTACTATTAATTTACTACGAAATGGTTTCCTTCTAAATTTGACCTTCAAATCGGGGAATAGCGTGCGTGCGTAATGCAGCTGTGTAAAGCTGCGTATTATTATTATTACTAGATTATAACTTATATGCTTATATGTCAAATAGTACGCTCGTGATACTATGATAAGGAAACGATGTAAAAAGTATTTGTTGCGCTAAATCTAAATCTTTTTAGTATTAGGACTAAAAATCGTTATATTGCGTCAGATTTAAGCAGATTCTAGGCTAACGGCTTCTTGTCGTTTTCAAATAAAATTGTTTCAAAAAAATTAAGTTGGAAAACATTTTTTTTTGGCCAAAATGGTAGAGGGCATTATTTTAAAGATAAAGTTGAGGAATACGTTGACAAAAAAATCATCAATTAAATTTATGTTACAAAAGTGGAATTTGCAAATAACTGTTATCCCGACTTCTTGTGAATGGGTGAAATACTTCCTTTGTTTCCAGTCACACATAGCAACACAATTATGCAGGCTAAACAAAGTTGAGTAAAGAATAACAAAGAAAGTTTTTTTTTTAAATGAAAATTCTTTCTGAAAAACCATTTCCACTGAGAGTAAATGAAAGACATTTTTTGCAAGTAAAATTGCATTCTTGTTGCTAAATAAATTCATCACACGATCAAATATGTTATTGCCCCAATTTTCAAACTTGTTCAAAAATTAATGCAGTCATCAATAATAAAAGTTTTTCACTCCATTATGCATTAATCAAGTATAACAATTAGGATTTAATTTTTTTGTACAGGGTTAACAAAAATGGATGAAACCTAAGTGTACCTATTTTCTGTTTTTTTTCTTACTTTCTGGTTTTTTTTGCAAATTTAACTTTCTTTCATTCTTTGTCAAAATCAATAATCATTAAGCTGTATTATTTAAAGACTTTATTGAAGGCAGAAGTAAAACTTTCAAAATACTGTAATTTTTGATCCATCATTAAAGTCTCATCCTTTCAGTATACATATGATGTTTATATATTTATTAACATTTATACTCTTTCCTTGAATACTAACTATAGTACTTAAGACCCGGTATTGGGGGTTTTAAAACCTATAGGTCCCCTCATCTTCCATATTTTTGCTGTCATATTTTCGTTATTTAAAAGCGGATTCGCTTACACGATTCTGAAAAGATTGACCTAGCTCCATGGAAAGAAGGGGGGTATATTTCATAATTATTTATTATCCTAAATAAAAATGAAAAAAATACATGCGTCGATATGGTAAATCTAACTATAAAAACTATTATGTTATTCGTACTAACGATCATAACAATTGTGCAGTATTTCAAAAACAATTTTTAAAACTAATTTAAATTTTAAACATAAGACAAAATAAAATAAAATATTTAGCCAAAATCCAAGAGCTTTAAAGTTGTAAGCTAACGGATTAAATATGTATTAAAAATACTAACAAGAATTTTGTTTCATTCAGGGTGAATTGTAAAAAGTAAATTTAAGTCTAAGAAAAATGACAATATCTATGATATGGTGCAATTTTAAATTGCGTCATAATTACTCAGTTCGATAATTCTTTGTTTACAATAATTCCAATTGTGTACATTGATTTTTAATGCGTATTTAGCAGAAAAAATATGGCAACATACCTGACAGTTGTTCTACTGAATTCCTCGCCATCCTAATCCCAAAGATTTCCAATGAAACTAGAAAAAGGTGTTTACACACACCCTGATATTATACCGTCCCACATTTTCCATTGTATGTTGTTTAAGTCCTTCAATTACGCAATAAGATCCTGAATCCGAAATATATTTGCGAGTTTTGGTATTTTTCAACCAATCACCAGGATTTCCCACCATTTTCTTGTGAATAGGAACAAGCTCGGTTTTCGGGGCTGATAAGTCTTGATTTCACTGTCATAATTATTATAGAATTGTCCTCCATTTCCGATCTAGTGTGATCCTTCTCTCTCCAGTATTTCTAACTGACTGACTGCGGACTGCCGTCTGCCTGCCAGTCGATCAGCTGATTTTGTTATGGCACAGTCGTCTCCTATTGGTTATATTATTTGCCTCCTCTCTCCTCATTGGTCAAATCTGGATCGGACTGGATGGTGACGTACTTTGAGTTCAAGCTTAAATGAGACTAATATTCTATATTTTTTACTAAACAAACTTTGAATTCGCATGTCAGTGCGAAATAAAGACTTCTGCTCCAGAAAAAACGAGAGATTAGAGAATGTCATCTGTTTCTGAGTTCAAATATTAAAAAGCATCAAAAGGAAGATTTGTACTTTCAGCCAATCCTACGAATCCTGTACGATCCTACCTCAATCTCTAGACCAATCAGCTGATAAATATCATATAGAAAAGAAACAAAGAAAAAGAGAAAGCTGGCGAAAAGGATTTTAATGGGAACAAATCAGGGAAACCGGAGAAAGAGAAAGAAGATGGAGGGATGGGGGTGTTAAAGTTACATTATTGTCCATTCTGATCTGCAGTGACTCAGGCCCGTAGCCAGGATATTTCCAGGGGGGGTGCCAAATTTTTTTTTAAACAATGCTTGGTTTGTTTTTACAGTTGTATATATGGTGGTTTTTATTACATTGTCAATGTACACTATATAAAGACTAACAAGTGTATTTGAGCTTTTTAAGGGTTACATTTTAGTGTCTGAAACTTTTCAGTTTACATGTACAATGAATACAATACATAAAAAAAAAAATGTTTGGTACTTCAGCTTAAGGAAAAAATTCATTATTTAAAATCAATGCTTCTTGTCCCTCGGCCTCATCATGATTAATATGAAGATGAATAAAAAATAATACTAATTTCTAATATTTAGTTTAAAAGAGTTTATTTAATGACATTGAGACGTATTGAGACATTGAGACATTCTTAGTGAATTTTTAAGTACTCAAAAAAAACTCTTCTATATTTTGGCTTAAAATAGATTATATAATTTGGTTTGGGAAGAGAATCAATTCTTACTCGGGCTATATAATTGATAACTAGATTTTAGAAAATTATGAGAAACAATTTCTTTTATATGAGACTAAAGGGGGGGCCGGGGGCAAATTTGTCATTGCACCCCCCTTTAAGAAGAAAGGGGGGTGCACCTGTCCCCCTGCACCCACCCCCCTGGCTACGGGCCTGGCAGTGAGTAATATCATAAGCAGCCATAATTATTGCGCGTAACTGTAAATTAAGATCTTAAAAAAAGAAAAAATATAATTAAAGATTTATTCTAGCTTTGCTAGCTCCTTTATCCTTTCTCTCCTTCCTTTCTGTCCTTCATCTTTTCTCTCCTTTATCCTTTCTCTCCTTTATCCTTTCTCTCCTTTATCCTTTCTCTCCTTTATCCTTTCTCTCCTTTATCCTTTCTCTCCCTTGTCCTTTCTCTCCTTTATCATTTCTGTCCTTCATTCCTTCTCTCCTTTATCCTTTCTCTCCTTCATTTTTTAGTATTTGGTTGCAAGTCAATTTATTTGGTTGTCAGTAACTTTATGATTTGGTTTATTTAGTTAATTTTCAGTTTATCAGATGTCAGTTATTTATTTCGTTATCAGATGTTATATTTTGCTTTAAGTTAATTTACGTTGTTGTCAATTCATTCATTTGGTTGTCAGATGATATATTTTGCTGTTAGTTAATTTACGTTGTTGTCAATTCATTCATTTGGTTGTCAGATGATATATTTTGCTTTAAGTTAATTTACGTTGTTGTCAATTCGTTCATTTGGTTGTCAGATGATATATTTTGCTGTTGTTAATTTACGTTGTTGTCAATTCATTCATTTGGTTGTCAGATGATATATTTTGCTGTTAGTTAATTTACGTTGTTTTGTTGACAGATCCTTCATCCTTCTCTCCTGTATCCTTTCTCTCCTTCATCCTTTCTCTTCTTTATCCTTTCTCTCCTTCCTTTCTGTCCTTCATCCTTTCTCTTCTTTGTCCTTTCTCTCCTTCATCCTTTCTCTTCTTTATCCTTTCTCTCCCCTTTCTGTCCGTTATCCTTTCTCTCCTTCATTCTTTCTCTCCTTTATGCTTTTTCTCTTTCATCATTTCTCTTCTTCCTTTCTCTCCTTCATCCTTTCTCTTCTTTATCCTTTCTCTCCTTCCTTTCTGTCCGTTATCCTTTCTCTCCTTCATTCTTTCTCTCCTTTATGCTTTTTCTCTTTCATCATTTCTCTTCTTCATTTCTTTTTCTCCTTCATCCTTTCTCTACTTTATCCTTTCTCTCCTTTATTCTTTATCTTCTTCATTCTTTCTTTCCTTCATCCTTTCTCTCATTTATGCTTTATCTCCTTAATCCTTTGACTTCTTTATCTTGTTCTCTCCTTCATTCTATCTCTCCTTCATCCTTCCTCTCCTTCATCGACTTTCTCTCCTTTATCCTTTCTCTTCTTCATCATTTCTATCATTCATCCTTTCTCTCCTTCACCCTTTCTCTCCTTCATTCTTTCTCTCCTTCATCCTTTCTCCTCTTTATCCTTTTTGTCTTTCATCAATTCTCTACTTAATCCTTTCTCACCTTTATCCTTTCCTTTCTATACTTTATCCTTTCTATACTTTATCCATTCTCTCCTTCATCCTGTCTCTCCTTAGTCCTTTCTCTCCATTATCCTTTTTCTTATTAATCCTTTCTCTCCTTCATCCTTTCTCTCCTTTATCCTTTTTGTCTTTCATCAATTCTCTACTTAATCCTTTCTCACCTTTATCCTTTCCTTTCTATACTTTATCCTTTCTATACTTTATCCATTCTCTCCTTCATCCTGTCTCTCCTTAGTCCTTTCTCTCCATTATCCTTTCTCTCATTTATTCTTTCTCTCCTTCATCCTTTCTCTCCTTCATACTTTTTCTCCTTTTTCTTCCCTCTCATTTATCCTTTCTCTCTGTTTCGCTACTTAGCGATTTCCCTAAAGACCTAATATATATACCGTGTGGTATTTCTCAAGACCGGATTGTAAGACTTCCTTCTCTCAACGCTCTCCATAACAAAAAGGATGATAATAAGGTTCCGAACGTTTATTTCTCTGAGTCCTCAATCTAAATAAGTTTAATAAACCCACAGAAAAAGCTTTGAGTGATAAATCATACGAATACAACAAATAATCCACTCAGGCATTAAAAAACTGTGGCAAGGAACCAACAAACATGTATATAAATATCGATCATACTATAATCAAACGATAAGCATACATATATATATAAGAAATAATTACCGCAGTGATCCTAGAATTATTGACACGGTTACACTTGCACGACAAATAAACATATACTAATACAAAACTGTTCGCTCCCACGCGAGAAATCTTGCGCCTGCGTAGTCAGTCTGTAAACAGCGTCTAAAACTAGTTTTTTCACAATACGTTCTGTACAGATCCGCAGGGAGAACTCAGAAACTCACAGGGGCATCAACTAGACTTTATACACGGAGCATGGCACGCGTAACACTCTCCTTCATCCTTTCTCTCCTACATTCTTTCTCTCCTTCATCCGTTCTCTCCTTTATTCATTCTCTCATTAATCCTTTCTCTCCTTCTTTCTTTCTCTCCATCATCCTTTCTCTTCTTCATCCTTTCTCTCCTTTATTCTTTCTCTCCTTTGCCTTGCTCTCCTCCCTTCGTTTTTACCTCTAGACTATCTTCCTTCTTTTTTTTCTTTTTTTCCTTCTCTTTCTTTTTTTTCAAAGTTTTAAGACTTTTTTCCAGGGGCTTATTAGTTATTAAACAGGGCTGAGCCCCCACTTGGAAAAGGGTGTGCAATGGTTTCAGGGGTTTCAAACCCCACCCCCTTTAAATTTTTTTTAACACCCCTCCCCCCCTGGAATATTTCTTTGTACTGTAGGATCTACCCTTGTATTCCCCGTATGTATCCCTGGAAACCATATTTAATGCTTGAACTGCCTGAAAAGGGGGAAGTTTTTCAAGGTGGTATTTAAAGATATATATTAACTTTATTTAGAAATTGTTACTTATATAGAGTAAAGTGCATTATTTGTTTATTTTCAAAAAATTGCTGATTTTGGTTATACACATACCTTTCAACCCTAATATTATTGTAAGTAGAGATGTTAGCCTAACCAAAATTACTTCTTACTAAAATATTTTTATCAGGTTTATATCTTTTTCTACTTTTATTGCTGCTAGGGTGAATAATATAAAAATCGAATGATTTAATATTTTCTTAAGTTCATTCTTGTCGGATTTGGATGTTTATTTTTATAAGTGTTTTTTTAAGTGAAAAATGATAAAAACATTTTTGTTAGGAATAGACTAATGCAAAATAGTGTTATAAACATTTTTACTGTACCAGCTTAAACAAGTGTAAAATGATAAAGTTTAACACTATAACCAAATAACACTATTTATATAATAAACCTAAGTGAAATATATATATTCAGGAATTTGATATGCTTTAAAGCAACCTGTGTATCTGAAGCAATGATGAATTCTTTCCATTTTTTTGTTTCTTATTCAAATATCTTCAAACTTTAGAATGTATTTTTTTTCAAACAATTTGTGTTTAACTATATTGAGTTATATATGTTTATAGTGAGTTATATATGTTTATAGTGAGTTATATGTGTTTATAGTGAGTTATATGTGTTTATAGTGAGTTATATATGTTTATAGTGAGTTATATATATATGTGAATAGTGGATTAAAAGTGTTTTTCCTAAAAATCGGAAAACTTAAGCTTAACTATAATCAAATAACCCACTTTACTTTATATGTAATAAATATCAGGTGAACTGTATTCTGTAAATTTGCAGTACATTGTACATTATTAATGATCTATATGCTTGTAAACTTCTACGTAAAAACCATTATTGATTTGACCTGCGTTTCAAATGAATACGTAGCATGGTTAGCTTAATCATGTGACACATAATGTCGTATCTATATATAAATTTGGCTTGTCTTGATGTATGTCTGTTTGTCTGTCTGTTTGTTTGTATCCAAAAAACGTCAAAAAGGCTAAACCGATCGGGCCCTAATTTTTTGTGGGACATCACGTGACCACAGGGAAGGTTTACGAATGATAAAAATAAAATAAAAATGTGTTTTAAAGGTTTTTAATTTGTAAAAAAATTTAAATTCTTGAAAATCCGCGAATTTTTATTTAAAAATCCGTAACATTTTTTTCTCCTTTTGTTTTAAAATGTAAACAAAAAGAACATGTTCACAATTTAAATAGAAGATGGGCGCGAAGCGCCCTAAAAGCCTAGTATCTTACATTGCGACTATTTCTACAGAAAAAACAAGCTGGTATAGAAATTCAAGATGAAATGATGAAGAGCCGAATGAAACATTCAGTTTTTTTATGCAGGAGAAACCACAACAGGATAGATATCTTCAGATAGATATGGGATAAAAGATAAGTTTACGGAAAGTTTTGAGACATGGAGAACAATAAGAGAGCAGACAAAATGTGGGAATCAGAAAATATTAACACACTAAGTTCTAAGACAGCAGAATAAAACAAGACAGATCCTAAGGTGGGGAAACACAAAAATAGCAAAGAACCAGTATCTTGTAAAGATGCAGACAAAGAAGCACAGACATTAAATAATTGCAGAGACAAGGATCCAAAATTTAAAGAAACATTTTTTAGATGGGTTAAAGAAAATCCATGGACAAATGTTTGAAACCGGATACAGTTCTTAATAAAGACGAAGAATGAAGATATTGAAACACCCTAGGATCAAATGATGTTAATCAAGAGGAAAGAAATGATGAAAATTTAAAAGATACTTCCATAAACAATGATGAAGAAACCAGAGAATATTATTGCAGATGAGAGGCATTCTTAGATACGACACAAGAACGCGGGAAAGATATCGGAGAATATTATACCAACATCCTTCAGAGGAGAGGAACTTGGTAGAATTCAAGAATGGATTAATCCAGGGATTAGATGATCTTGAGTTGATGGAACAATGTCAGGTTTTTAAAATCTATTATTTCCAGGGGGTTTTCACTCCTTCCCCAGGAAAGAATTTTTTTTGTAAGCCTGCCCCCTGGAAAAAATTTCTGAGTACGCCCCTGTCAGCAGAATTGCACTTTTTTTGGTAACATTTTGTTTTTTTTCACGTTAAATTTTATTCTATGGATTTTTTAAATATTTGCAACTTCAAACAATAATTTTAAATCCTAGGAATCATGCATTGTTTTAATTTGCTTTAGCTCCATAGAGAATAGAATATATATTAGAGGGGAATTTACTAGAAAAAAGTGTAAAACGGCCATTTTGTTGTACTGTTTCCATACTGCAGGTGTACTTCACATATTTAAGCTATATAACCTTTTGGGCCCTGGAATATCATTTTATAGAAAATCTAAAATTATTGTTAAAAGAAAACCAAATTATGAAATAGGCTGGTTTCATAATTGACCAATGATCATTTCGCAGAGACTCTATGCCTTCCACTTTACAAACGAAGATTTTCCGTCATAACTATAAATCAAATGATGTTTTTTATTCACCTAATTCATTATAAAGTTTATTTAACAGCTTTAAAAAAATCGAAATTGAAATGAATAGTCTAGGGAACATACTGTCATGTATTAATGTACTCTACTGCATATAATTTGTGAACATTTACATGATTTGTACACTTTGAACTCCCTTTCAGGGTGAAAGGGACTGAAAAAAATCATACCTAGAGATTCTTGAAATTCCCCTCTAATATATATTTTATTCTCTATGTTTAGCTCAGTATACGGAGAGCATTGCATACTGTGAATACCACTGTAAACTAGACAGTACACACTCCTCTGCCGCTTTAGTAATTGTAAATTGGCGGTACAGTCCAAAGTAGGACTGCTAAGAAAGGTTGACCCAGCTCGGATATTCAAATGTACACCAGTGGGCAGTGGGACGTGAGTAGATAAGGGTCAAATTTACGCGAAATTACGCAGTACATTCCAGTTAATTCCATGGTACATGGCCGAATTTCACTAGGGCAATCAGTACAGTACAAATACAGACTATATGAAGCAAAACGGGACTGTACCCCAAATAAATGATCCCCTTCTAGTGAAATTGATGTGATTATTGTTACGACTTTGTGAACTTGTAACTTTTTTAAAGGGAGTGACCGGCTATGTAAGGTAGTTGAACTGAGTATGCAGTGTTGTGGAAAACTTCCTTCGGATTTATTTGAGACATATTTAACTTTTTTAAAGATCTGTAAATCCTGAGTTTGAGCACAAATTCGACGTTCAAAACTCCTACTTTGGCGGTGGATACGTTTTCAGAATTAGTTTTTAAATTATTAAATAACGACAGCGAAAAATAAAGTAAAAAATATACAGTAATCAAATTAGATTGTTTATAGACAGTAACCAAAATAAAGGTTTTTATTTAGACAATAACCAAAATAAAGGTTTTTAGATAGACAATAATTAAAGTAATGGTTTTTATATAGACAATAATCAAAATAAAGGTTTTTATTTAGACAATAATTAAAGTAAAGGTTTTTTTATAGACAATAATCAAAATAAAGGTTTTATATAGACAATAATCTAAATAAAGGTTTTACATAGACAATAATCAAAATAAAGGTTTTTATATAGACAATAATCTAAATAAAAGGTTTTATATAGACAATAATCAAAATAAAGGTTTTACATAGACAATAATCAAAATAAAGGTTTTACATAGACAATAATCTAAATAAAGGTGTTTAGATAGACAATATAAAAAAATCATGGTAACATCATGGTAACAAATAAAAATAAAGGAAATTAACGGGTTTAAGACAACTAAAATAAATGTTTCTGGTAATAAAAACCTTTTTGTTTCTGTTATAAACAAGATCTAAATTAAATGCTTTTTATATATAGACAATACTCAAAAGGACGAAACAAATGTTTTTTATATACACTGTAAATACATATTTAGAGAAAACTAAATTGTTGTTGTATGTTTTTTAGACAATAAAAATACTTTCAGACAACTGGTATTTACAATTATGCACAAAACAATAACAATAACAATAACAAAAATATTTTTTTTTTCTTTCAGACAATTTTAAAAATGAAAAGAGAGGAACCAGAAAACATCAAAACAAAAAGGAAACATTAAACATTAAACATTAAACATTAAACATTAAACATTAAACATTAAACATTAAACATTAAACATTAAACATTAAACATTAAACATTAAACAATATACATTAAACATTAAACATTAAACATCAAACATTAAACTTTAAACAAAGGTTGTTTTTTATTGTTGTGAAAAGGATTTGAATTAATAAAAAAACGAAAATTTTAAAAAGTCTAAATTTTTAATGTCTTTAGACGCACATGGAAAAGTTTCAATATTGACAGGAAGAACATTTTAATAATTTTCCAAAAATTTTATTTCAACTTTGCACCCGTAATATGTGAAAAGAACTGATTAGTTGCCACAAACTCTAGGTTTTTATTAATATATTTTTGCTTAATGATGTATAGATATATCAAATTCTATACAAAATTCTACATATTAAGATTAGTCCAAGCTTGAAATATCAAAGTTTTACACTAGTGCAGCAGGTTGCAAAAATATAGGGATTAAAAGATTATATTTTTAGCTAGTGATGAATCAGTTGAGTTCTCCTTGGTTCTCATTCATGCTTACGTACATTACACCCCATAAAAGGTTCCCTATAAACCTTTTATAATCAAGCTTGTGGAAGATATTGTCGTTTTTTAGCTTGAAAAGTGTTTAGTTCTGACAATTTCTTGAGATAGTAATGTTCAAGCCTCTTTACAGAGTACCCACAATTGAAAATGATTAACAGTCAAAGAGAAAATCATGGATATATCATGCATTTTTGATTATTTTTTAAGGGTACCGGTGTAAATCAAACATTTCTTCCCTATTTGATGTAGAGTCATAATGACATTTCCCTTTTTATTTTTATTTTTTTTATTTAAATTTTGATTTTGTTCTGGGTTTTTACAGAAGTTTCTCTTCTCCTGAACAAATTGTGAGAGAGAGAACATTTTTGATCGAAGACCTGGACTCCAAGGGAGGATTGTTGGGAGGACAAGACGGAGGTCGAAGTCAGGATTGTCGGCAGGTAGACGAGGACGGTGGTCGGGAGAACGAAGGTCGGATTAAAGAAACAGATATTTCTCCGAGATACGGACAGGTAAAGCAGGAGAACAATAAAAGATGAGACTTCAATGACGACACTTATCTGTTTAAGTGCAATGACCTTATGGTTGGACTTGGTTTTCTGTCTTCACCGTAGTTTATCAATGATAAGTAAAATGATTTGGAAATGAAAGAAATCTGTCTATAATGAAGAAAAAAACTAAACAAACTCCGTAAAGACGTCTCTGAAGTAAAAGTAAGGAGAGAAATGGATAGCTATAATTGTGTTTAGGTTGTTCCTGCTCTGAGAGCAAAACTGGCAGAGCAAGGATGCTCTGAGAGCCAACTATATTTAGCTAGAGAACTTCTTATAGAGGTAATTTGTAATAGAGATACCTCGAACTTTTTATTGTAAATAAATTATTGCAGATTTCACGGTAAACTAGAGGTCCTGACTCCTGATTAAAAGAACCCACTTTCACCCATTAAATGTATCATTTACTCTCAGACAAATTAGAATCATTGAATCCCAAATTTGTCCTAGAGAAAATGACATTCCTTTTTAAGGAGGGGATTCATCGATAAACCCGAGGGCTTGCAGATTTTGCGGATTTTTTTTTGCCCTTGTAGATTTTCAAAGTATCTTTCAATGAAAATATCCCGGTGGGATTAAATGAAAATTGTTGCATACCAAAAAACCATCTTTTTATAAAGGAATACGTAGATTCTTATGTGTTTGATATTTTTTACTTTTTGTGTTGGGCTATGTATTTAAGTATATTGGGCCTCTTTCGCTATCTTTGACGAAGTTTGAACGAGAGATCAAATGTGGCGGAAAATATTTCGAAACAGACAGGATGTACTTTGTTGTAGTCAGTTTTACGTAATCTGCATGAAAAAACACGATTCGGTTCAATCATCTAAATTAAAAATATATTTTTTCCTGTTTAAACAACTGAAGTATTTATGGAAATCCAGATTTCACAAAATAATCGTTAAAAGCCATCTTGGCATTGTCGACCAAAGACAAAGGTAAAACCGCGTTTAGCTCTGACCCAAAAAATCCTGTGTACTTGACAGAAAACTATCAGCTGTACAGAGCGTCCCATATCAAATTAGAGTATCTCCAAGCTTTAACGCCAAAATACGCACACAATACTTAAATAAAATACTTACTTAAATATAATACTTACTTAAATATAATAATAATACTTGAAAAACCTAGTATTTTCTGCATACAAATCTTTATATTAACAATACACAATTTTTTTGATGATTCGTTCTTTTAGTTACAGAAATCGCAATAACACGATCCAATATGATGTTGTACATCACCCTGTATATCAATGGTAAATCTGACAGACAAGTCCTTGTTAAACTAAAGTAAAATATGAAATGTTACTATGGTTTAAATCATATAAGACCTATTGTTGAAAAGCCAATTGAGAAGAACAAAAATGTTTTAGATTTTTAAATTGTAACCGGAAAAAATTGCTTGTAAAATTGCTTATACTTGTGCTTTAAATCCAAACTAGAGAAGCTATGAAGTCACAAAATTTTACTAGTATAATGTCGCCAAAATTTGACCTTCTTCAAGTTTCAAGTGACGACTTATCCTTCATTACTCATAGCCCCAGGGGCAAACTTATCTTAATTTTTTACTGACACCATGCACGTACATATTCAGTCTCTTAGTCTGCTATTAATTGATTCTGTTCCATGAAGGCTGCTAGTCTAGATGAGGAGGAGGAGGAGAAGTCTAGGTTAGAGGTAATCATTTTTTATTTTATTTTCAATCTCTATTTTTTTTAGATTTTAATATATTTTTGACTCCTGAATCATTCCCTTTTTTGATGAACTTATCTTCAATATATTTTGAAATTCGTTGTTGGGTTGGTTCGATTAAATAAATGTCCCAACGGCGACCTCACATAACCGCAGGATGATTTACTCCTTCAACATTTAAAAAATAATTCACCAATCAAATCAGAATATTAAAATGTACATTGTACAACGAAAAATGCTCACAGATAACGCGATAAGATTTAAAATTGTCAATAAAAAGGCATGAACCTTATCATTTACTGAAAAAGGAAAAAATTTAACCATAGATAAATAAATAATTATTTATAGCTTATGTACGCAAAATCACCAAGAATTGTACAGTCCGCGAACTCATACTTCTAGGGGTCAAAGTGTACTTTAATGATACGCGGGGTGGTTTGGTGTTTTAATGGATTTCATAATTATTAAACCACTCGGGAGTGAATTTTATTTTCAGAATATCAAATTATTTCACTGAGCAATATATCATATTGACGAGAACTAAGAAGGACATGAGAAGGACTAAACTAGCTTAAATTTCTCTCTACAGAACTCATGTACACCACAAGTACTCAATGTCATAAGAACAGCCGACCTAGTTAATCTATATAATAGGAATATCTTTAAAACATCTCTGTACATTTATATCTTTCAAGATGAAAAATGTCGTCTTATACGCAATCTATCTTTATCTATGAATTTAACTTTTTAAAATATTTTTTATGTTTAGGAGAATGCAATGTATTGGCTTCTTCAGGCAACACAGCAAGGACTGGAGGGTGAGTTCTTCAGACTAAAAGATTTTAAACTAAAGATCTGCAATAAAATGATTATTTTTTATTTTGTACGGAACTTTATGCACTTTAAAGGTTTGTGCTACAATGAGAGAGGTATTCCAATTAAGCATAACATTAAGGGAAGGAGTACACTATGTTTATGTACTACAAGGGTGGAGTGTAATTAAATGTACATATTCGTGCATACTTTTAATATTACAGAGGAAAGGAGTACACTACGTTTATGTACTACAATGGACCGGTTGAGTGTAATTCAATGTACATATTCATGCATATTATTAATATTACAGAGGGAAGGAGTACACTACGTTTATATACCACAAGGGGCCGGTGGACTGTAATTCAATGTACATATTCGTGCATATTATTAATATTACAAAAGCAGGAGTACACACTACACAGACACTACGTCTATGTACTGTAAGGGGTGAAGTGTACTTCAAGTATATGTTTGTATACATAACATTAATATTACAGAGGCAAGAAGTACATTACTATCTATGTACTGGGAGGGACGAGGTGTAACTGACCTAAACTATCCTGATATTGCTGCAATAGCTCGTCTTCCGAAAGAGGTATACGAATTCGGACCCCTAGCTTGGCAGGATTTTAATTTGGAATTCAATCGATATTTGAAATTTGACTAAAAAATTATGAATAGTACGGCTTTTATTCTTTAACTAGCTTTGGAACCAAGCTTTGCCTGAAGACTAAGCTTGCTACAAGTTAATCGACTCAACTCAATTTTTGTCCAAGCTAAGAACATTACCGTGGTTCTAATATGATATACAATAAAAATTGGAGGCAAATCGGTCTAGGGGTTTATGAGTTATGATCGGTCTTCCATACAAACAGACAAACAGATAGTACTGCTTGTTTTTTAAACGATCTTGTGTCATGTCTCTCGTTCTGAGATGAAAACTTGTGAATACTGATCGATGACACTGGTGCAATCTGTACTGCGTTCAAATAGTTCCAGCTCCATTTATTTCTAAATTTATAATTTTATAATTTTATAAAACTTCACGTACATTTTTATTTTGTCTTTTTTAAAATTTCTAATTTCTTCCAAAAATGATGTCGAAAAAAATGGAGGCTTTGGCTTAAAATATCTCAAAAATATTCAATGTTTATTTTTGTAGATCTAGTTTAAACTCCAACATAAATGTTTAAATACTCAGTGGAAATATGTTTGTTCTCTTGTTAAGGCTCTTGCAGCAGCAGACTTAGGATCTACACTTTTTGCCTCCCTCTCGAAAGGTATGTTATGCGAGGGAGGGGGTGCACAGGGCCGCAATGAGCCTCGAAAAATGGTCTCCAAGCCTACATATTTAAAATGATCTGGCGCTACCCCTTAAAATTGGTATACATTATCTTCTATAATATCTATTCTAAAAGATAGGGCCAGGACAGAGGTTAGACACAATTTCCCATTCACAATGGTACCATTTTAACCTCTATCAGAGTAACAATAAGAAAGATTTCGTTGTTTTTCTAAAATGAAAATTCTTATAATTTCCCTCATTCTCTCGGGAGTATAATTCTGCAATTACTTCTATAGACAACCCATTTAGGATACTGCACTGCAGAACTGTACTGTACATGTCAAGTACACAGGGAACTCAGGGAAACTAGATAAAGAGTTAGTTGTACAAGCAGTAGCTCAATATATGCAGGTACATAAATTCACGATAGCTGATGTACAATATCCATCTTAGTAAAATAGGTTATGTACAGGTACATAAATGCAGTTTTTTTTATTTATTTAATGAATACACGGTACAAGTACATGTTCAAAACAAAACAAAAAACATTTTAAAAGTTTTTGGATAATATTTACATGCATCTTTTTAAAAAAATTTAAATTATATTGTTTAGAGCGACCTACCAGAGATTGACAAGAAAGTTGGAGAATTTAGGTATTTAGGTATTTAGCTATTTAGGTATTTAGGTATTTAGGTATTTAGGTATTCAGGTATTCAGGTATTCACTAGAGAAGCTATGA